CAGCGGACACACAGCGGACACACAGCGCACACACAGCGGGACACACAGGGGACACACAGCGGACACACAGCGGACACACAGCGGACACACAGCGGGACACAGCGGACACACAGCGGACACACAGCGGACACACAGCGGGACACACAGCGGGACACACAGCGGACAGCGGACACACAGCGGACACACAGCGCACACACAGCGGGACACACAGCGGACACAGCGGACACACAGCGGGACACACAGCGGGACACAGAGCGGACACACAGCGGGACACACAGCGGACACACAGCGGGACACACAGCGGGACACACAGCGGGACACAGCGGGACACACAGCGGGACACACAGGGGACACACAGCGGACACACAGCGGACACACAGCGGGACACACAGGGGACACACAGCGGACACACAGCGGACACACAGCGGACACACAGCGGACACACAGCGGGACACACAGCGGACACACAGCGGGACACACAGGGGACACACAGCGGGACACACAGCGGACACACAGCGGGACACACAGGGGACACACAGCGGACACACAGCGGACAGCGGGACACAGCGGACACACAGCGGACACACAGCGGACACACAGCGGACACACAGCGGGACACACAGGGGACACACAGCGGACACACAGCGGACAGCGGGACACACAGCGGGACACAGCGGACACACAGCGGACACACAGCGGACACACAGCGGACACACAGCGGACACACAGCGGGACACAGCGGACACACAGCGGACACACAGCGGACACACAGCGGGACACACAGCGGGACACACAGCGGACAGCGGACACACAGCGGACACACAGCGCACACACAGCGGGACACACAGGGGACACACAGCGGACACACAGCGGACAGCGGGACACACAGCGGGACACAGCGGACACACAGCGGACACACAGCGGACACACAGCGGACACACAGCGGACACACAGCGGGACACAGCGGACACACAGCGGACACACAGCGGACACACAGCGGACACACAGCGGGACACACAGCGGGACACACAGCGGACAGCGGACACACAGCGGACACACAGCGCACACACAGCGGGACACACAGCGGACACAGCGGACACACAGCGGGACACACAGCGGGACACAGCGGGACACAGCGGACACACAGCGGACACACAGCGGACACACAGCGGGACACACAGCGGGACACACAGGGGACACACAGCGGACACACAGCGGACACACAGCGGACACACAGCGGACGGACAGCGGACACACAGCGGGACACACAGCGGACGGACAGCGGGACACACAGCGGACACACAGCGGACACACAGCGGACACACAGCGGGACACACAGCGGACACACAGCGGGACACACAGGGGACACACAGCGGACACACAGCGGACACACAGCGGACAGCGGACACACAGCGGACACACAGCGCACACACAGCGGGACACACAGCGGACACAGCGGACACACAGCGGGACACACAGCGGGACACAGCGGGACACAGCGGACACACAGCGGACACACAGCGGACACACAGCGGGACACACAGCGGGACACACAGGGGACACACAGCGGACACACAGCGGACACACAGCGGACACACAGCGGACGGACAGCGGACACACAGCGGGACACACAGCGGACGGACAGCGGGACACACAGCGGACACACAGCGGACACACAGCGGACACACAGCGGGACACACAGCGGACACACAGCGGGACACACAGGGGACACACAGCGGACACACAGCGGACACACAGCGGACAGCGGGACACAGAGCGGACACACAGTGGGACACACAGCGGGACACACAGGGGACGGCAGTGGTGAGAGTCTAGCAGTGTTATGGGGACCGTGGCAAGCATGGGAAAAGACAAGGAGCCCTCGGGGCCAGAGTGCGCAGGCGGGGCCGGCCTGGAGCGCCGGGCAGGTGTCCCGTCTGCTGGCCACTCAGCAGGTGCGCTGTCAGGAACAGACTTTTTATCTCGTTTGCAAATGGAAGGAAGACAGATCTTCCCACCAGTAGTTTTAAGCGAAGGAACGACACAGAAGATGTGTCGGGACGTACTGGTCCAGTGTGAAAGGTGCAACAGTAACCAGCCGAGGTTGTATTCAGCCTCCCTGTTAAACCGGCATGTGCGTCAGAGCAGAGACCAGGCGTGGGCCTCTGGCCCGTGATCGCTAATGTGCTCCGCGTCTCTGTGTCGCCCGGTTTACAGGGATTTCAGGAGAAGTCTGTCCCAGCTTGTAAGCCACACCAGACGCTGGGGTCCTCACACTGTTGCCTGGGTCCCCAGTCCTCAGTCCTTGACAAATCACACAGAAAACATGAACATACCGTTTTTGCCTTCTATAAACGTCAATAAAGCACACACCTGTGGAAGTTTTTTATTTTCTTAATATAAAAATATATAGCATGCTAAATTAATATAAACACCCAAAATACATGAATCTCTACAGAAGTTTCCTAGTTCTCTAACGAGTGTCTCAAAAAAGGATCGCTTATGTTCTCCTGTATATTAACATTGTTAGCAACATGCACGGTGTTGGCAATACGGCATTTAACATGATTATATTTTTCTAACCAGTAGGAATGCACACTAATCTATCAGGAATATTTTGATGATGTCACTACTTTATAACCAATGTGCAGCATTTACAAAATATCAGCTGGTTAACAAAAGAAAGTCAGCTTTCTGTTCACACCGAGATGTAAATGCTCTCTCCTTCTGTGTCTTCCCTATTGACGGAGCCCAGCTCACTCCAACCATTTCATGCAAATAATTCTGGCTTTCATCAACCAGAATTTTGTTGGTGGCAAAGGCCACTTTTGCATTTTCTGTAGTGAGTTTCAAATTTTCCTGGGAAGTAGTTAAATAGGAAACACATTCTCCTTGCATCTTTCTTCTGTACTGAAGATCGAACCCAGGTCCTTGCACGTGCTAGGCAGGGACTCTACCACCAGAGCCATGCCCCAGGTCTATTTTTCTCAAAAGAATGCTGTTTTATTATTTCTCTGTATGACTTTATGAAAGACAAAAGGTCTACTTGTAATTGAAAAGCATTTTTTGGTGCGTTTTTGCTGCTGGAGTTCCTAGGAAATGACACAGAGACAATTCCACAACAGTGTCTTGATTGTGCTTTTGTGAGTAGCCGATACAAAATAAAGCAATTGCAGCCGCCTGTGATCTTCCAGGGCATTGTGAGCTCAAAACACAGTTCAGGTCACAGTTACTCTGTAATGGTCTTTCTGTGTGTGTCTAGTTCCTAAGCAATGTGAATATTATACACCAGTACCAAGTACTATCCTAGAATTCATTAGTCCGATGAGGATAAAGCAGACAATTAATCCAGTGAGGAAAGCAGACCTTCAGCCGTCGCACCCAGGGCCTCATTCCACACACAAGCGTCCTTGTTGCGACTGGAGTAAGGCAAAGACAGATAAGCTAGGACTCAGGCCAGCTGCGTGCTCCTGTCTCTCAAAATCAATGGATCTGGCTAGTGGATAAATTCATGAGTCACCTATTTGTTGGCTTCAGGCACAAAACTGTGCATACTTATGAAGTTCCCAAAGAGGCACGCAGAACGTTTGGTAACAGAGATCAAAGAAGTAGTGCCAGTAGGCTATCCACCATTGAAAATCAATGAGCTTGATTTTACCATGACATTGAGTGCCTGGGGTTTTTGAGTAAGCGTCTCACCCCAGGAAGCATGCTGGGGTGAGGTTGCCCCATCCCCCTGGCTTTGTGACTGTAACAGCCGACTTGTTTGCCAGGAAACACAGAGGTGTATATAAAATCCCAAGTCGTTTCTCAAGCATAAACCCGGCTGTGTTTTTGGGCATCGCATCTTCCCTGCCACTTCTCCATCGCTGTGGCTGCTGGAGAGGAGATCTGAGCAGGAACTCGGCAAGTCAGCCCGCTGCCCCCTGCAGAAGAAGTTCATGTGGGAGATTCCCCGGAGGTCACTGGAGACTCGCCAGCTTCCCCTTTACATCCCTCTAGTAGATGTTCTTGATTAACTTCCTCATCAAATTAAAGCTCTAACTTGTATGGCTGTAAAAACACTCTTTGTAGGGTGAAACAATGAAAAGCTGTAAACATCCCTCGCAATGAAACACTGTGGCAGGCGTGACCCGCTGGTCACCATGGAAACGTGACTTTATAGGCACAGAATTCCAAGACAATGTTTATTAAAACAAAAAAAAAACATCTTTTCAAGAAGCAATACTAAGATCTGTGCCACCAACCTAGCTCAAGGAAAAGGGCGTGGGTACTATGTTTGGCCTAGATTATTAATCAAGGTCATATTGATAATCGAGATCAAATAAAATCACACACCGCCCCCTCCAGACCACCTCCTTCCTGGACAGCATTTTCCAGTCAGACTCTAGAGCTGAGCCCTTCTGCCCGGATGTTTTCTGTCACCATGTCTAGTCCCAGACTAGACACAGAGGGGTGTAGGGAGTCCGTGCAGCCCATTTGAGGCTGGATTAAAGTGAGGTAGTATGCCTTCCCACCCACTCTTTCAGGAAAAGAACATTCTGTGCCCTCTCTGTGTGCTGTGGAGTGTGCGCATCTCTCCAGGTCAGGAAACCGCCTCTCCACACGCCGTCAGCCTGGTCTGACGAGCCAGCAGGCGCCCAGGAGGCAGGGGGCGGCCTCTGCTCGTCATCTGGCCGAGAACGCGGCCTTTCCTGAGAGGAAGGTCGGTTAATAATAATGTGTGAAGACACTGTACGGGTTGGTTTCTTCCTAGACCAGCAAATGGTATGCACGGTGACTGGAACTGAGGAATGCGGTGTTTCTGTGATTACTGTAGATTCACTCAAATTGTGGTATTTGAAGTTGGATGATGCAGATTTATTTATAAAGCATTCCTCTTACTGTGAAACAAAGCAAAAAGAAAAGCGTGGCCAGGGTGATGTTGAAACAGTAGGAGATGTGTTAGTGATTCTCCAAGCCCCTCTGCCTTGCATTGAAATGCTGTATTATGTTGACAGATCTGGGAAATTTTAGTGGCCGGACGCGAAGCGCGGTCTCCGTGAGGGACGGCCAGGGGGTCGTGCTGCTGTGCTCTCCCCCTCCACACTCGCCAGGTACGGTGGTCCCCTTCCCTGCCGGGGCTGTGCGCGTGCTCATGGGCGGTGGCGGGCCGGGCAGGCGTGGATGGAGGGTGCATGCTGGCCTGGCCGGAGGAGTCAGTGCGGGGAGAAGCGGGCGCTGAGGCTGTGGAGCCCGCCTCCCGAGGGGCCGACGGCTGTGCTCACGCTGGTGCAGCCTGTGCACGAGGAAAGCGATCGACGGAGCCAAGGCATTTGAAGTGTCAGATCTGAGTGAAACACACCAGTGCGCATCTTGTCTTGGAAGAGAAGCTGCATGCTTGCTGCCTGCTCAGAAATACTGTTTGTGTGGATAGCTTACGTATCGGCTCTTCCTTCCCTTTGGGGGCACTACTTGAAGGCTTGCTTACGAAAGTCAGGGAAATAGGTAAGTATTTTATAGGTTTAGAGAAATAGAACAGTAAGTTGTACTCGGTATTTTATACCCTTTTGGAAACTCAAAGCTAATTATATTCATTTTGCTTTAGTTCTACAATTTAAGACATATTCTTCTTTGCACCTTAATGTATGTAGTGCTTCTATAATACAATTTAAGAGATGCCAACGTTAATCATAATAGAAGAGGGGAGGGAGAGAGAGGAAGAGGAAAAGAGTAGTACATAGACTGTGTCAGAAAAAAAAAGACTATTTAACCACTGCTCTGGAAAGAGAAATTAGTGTCCAGATAGCCCGTCTAATTTCCCTTATTTAACGTGACAGCCATATTTGTTTCAGTGAATTCACCTGTTTTCAAGGTACAGTTCATGGATTCTATTAAACATACACAGTTGTTCCACCCTCACTGAAACTCGCTGTTCAACTCCTCCTCCCTGTCTCCAGGCAGGTACCCATCTATGTATCTGTAGGTTCACTTTTGTCTAGACTTTCCATTTGAATGCAGTAATGCGATGTGGGGGGGTCTGTCTATGTCTTTGGCTTCTGTGAATGTCTTTGGCTTCTTTTACTTAACACGACTCACCGATTTGCAGATCTTTACGTTGATGGATGCTACTCTGTTGTGCGGATACTCCGAATTCTGTTCTCCATCCCTCAATCGTGGCCATTGGATCGTTGTCAGTTCTCGCATCGACAGGGTCCCACATTCCTGGTTTGCCTTGTAGACATGTTGCTGTCCGCTCGCTGCTCCGCTCACTGGGATTTCTCATGGTTGTGTCAGGCTCCGCCAGAGCTAAGCTCAGTGCCTGGTGATAGACCCTCACGTCACCAGCCACCCTCTGCCCACTTGCATTACTGGAAACTCCACTTCTTGCTGTTGATCTTATAGGACCTTCTGCACCTCTCACTGCGAGCGCCCGCACCGGTATCAGCGATTTGTTGGTTCTTACGCAACACCTTCTGTAGCAGTACCTTCTTCTGTGAGGAAGTCTGCCTGACTTGCATCCGCCCTCCCCCTTGCTAGCTTGTGGGTTGGCAGTTCAAGTCCCCTCCTGCAGGGTCTCAGAAGCTAGGCCAGTCCCTATCTCCTCCTCCTGCCGCTCGGCCCGCCCGGCCTGGGTGCCGGCCCCGCCTGGCATGCCCCTCCTCATCCCCACAACTTTGAATCTGGCCTTCCTTTATCATTTCAGCTTCTCAGCTCCTTTCTTGATCCTCTGCTTGGTATGTTTTCCCTAGGAGCCCTCATCCCTGCAGGGTAAATTTACTCAACTGTTGAGTCTCTGTCAGCTTTGATTAGCAGGTAATGTCCATTAGGAAGGAAATTCGGTTTTGTCCACTTGTAGCGCAGGTAACTAGTACAGGACTTGGCACAGAGTAGGAGCTCACAAAGTATTTATTGACTAAATCTATGCAAAATACTCAGAAATAAAACAATGAACCATGATTAAGACGTTGGGAGACTAACCCTACACAGACTGGAAGAAATAGCTGGACGTGTGTGAAGACTCAGGGTCTATGTTGAGGGGGCAGAATGAGGCAGGCTCCGGCCTCAGGATTATCTGAGGACTGTGTTTGAGTATTAGGAAAGCTCTTGGCATGTCGGGCTAGAGACGGAACATGTTCTCTCTCCCTATCTCAAAGCACATGTCACAGACTCCTGGGAGCTGAGGAAGTAGCTCTTCTGCTTGCTTAAGCATAGATGAACAGCTGGTCAAGGATTTTCCTGAGATTGGAGAAGTGGTTTGAGCTTGCTCTAAAATAGTTTAGATAATAATATACCAAGACATTGTCTCATAGGTTAAGTAAAAACGTATCTGTTGAAATTCTTTGTATGAATGTCTCCTGACTAAATCTTGGCAAAGATAATGCTTGCTTGTCTTTCAATACCCACTAGCAATAAAGCACAGTATGCAGTGGCAATTGCTGTTTGCGCTCTGCATCCCCTGTGTCCTGGTGATTTTGTGACCCTTAACCAGGGACCCCAACGCACTAGATGTTGACAGACATGGAGGAAGAGAATCTTCATAATTTATTTCTGAGTGAATTTTCTGTGTGCAGCATAAAAAGAAAATGTGAGTAGCATCATCAACATAGAAGAATCGGTGTGACAGTTTATATTTTCACCCCAAACGGCCCCTGAAACCTGAAGTATTCACATTTATTAATTGAGAGTACAGTCATATTGAAGAGTGGCGATGTAACTCTGGGGCCTTGCTTCCGAGCGCTTACAATGAAGCGCACAGGGGCCACATGAGGGAAGAAGATGGCCCAGCACTGAGGCTTGCTTGAGGTGGTTTTTACAAGCCATGGTTTCTTTTTCTGGGTGGGATAGAGCTGAATGTTGTGAGCTCAGAAAGTCAGTGGACGCTGCTGCCAGCCCCGCAGCTCAGTCCCGTCCACACAGGCGCAGCACACGCCACATGCACGCCTCTCCACGCCACGCCGCCCCCTCTTAGTCTTGCTTTGCCTTCCTTTCAAGTCATAATTATTTATCAGAGCTTTATGTGAAGTAAAGTGTCAGAAGTAAAACTTACTGAGCTTTTTATGCTCCGTAGTGGGTCACCTGTTCTTCTATGGCGTGCAACTTGCCTTGTTGCAATTTATCTTCCCGTATTGAGTGCCGACACCGGACACCTGATGGGTCTCCCTCACGCGCCCGCAGGTAACCGAAGAGCGCGTGATCCCCACCGTTGGCTTTCCGAGGGCCTCGACAGTCCTTGCCAGTCCTCAGCGATTAGTTTATTGCAGCCCACATCTGTGCAGGTATTGGGTCATTTCATACCACATTCAAGTATCATTCTTTCAAAGCATAGCAATGCTGCCATTCTGTGGTAGCTGTGAGGAAATTGAACAGCTTTTACATGAAAGAAGATTGAAAGTACTTGGAAGCAGCCCAGTGGTTTAATTTCTTAGTGCCTGAAGTAGATATATGCAGTATACAATTAGCATTGAATTCTTTTTTTTTTTTTTTTTTGGGGGTCTGGTCGTGGGGCCTGAACTCTGGGCCTGGGCGCTGTCCCTCAGCTCTTCATCTCAAGGCTAGCACTCTACCACTTGAGCCACAGAGCCACTTCCGGCTTTTTTTCTTTTTGCTTATGTGGTGCTGAGGAATCGAACCCAGGGCCTCATGCACGCAAGGCAAGCACTCTACCACTGAGCCACCTTCCCAGCCCCTAGCATTGAATTCTTGAATTTCTTTTTTCAATGCTCACAAGATGAGGTCAATGTGACTGGCAATATCTCTCCGGCCTGTGAGTGGTTACGTACCTACCAGGAAGCCAGTTAATACTTCAAGATTATTAAACATATACTTACAAAATGATTTTTAGTTACCAAAACCCCTCTAGCACTTTAAAGGTTTTGCAACATAAGACTACATGGTAAAAACAGCTACGAAAATGTAGAAAGATTCCTCATTACAACTATGACTAAGTAAGAAATTGTCTTCTGGTCTAGAAGCTACAGACCCTGATACTTTTTAAACAGAATAGTACTTCCTTGCTTCAGTGAAATATGAGTGAACTATCTACAAGAACACTCAGAAGCTGACACCAAGGGAGAATTAAAGTTGGTGAGCAGAGAACAAGCCCAGGGCAGCTGGTAAAGGTCTGACCCGGCACAGGCCAGACCCTGGAATCAATCTCCAGCCCTGAAAAATAAGCACAAGCTACATCCTCAAAACTCCTACTCACTACTCAGCAGAAAATTCGCCAGAACTGGAGGCCTGGGTCAAATGGTAGAGCACCGGCTGTGAGCAGAAAAAGCCAAGTGAGAGTACCAGGCCCTGAGCAGCCCAGAACTGCACGAAACTGGCAGGAATAAATGTCTCCGTGGCTCCAAATGACAGATCTACAACTGCGACAAAAATCACGGCGCTTTTCTATTCTCTATTGTACATCATCGTAAGTGAGCAGTTGCCCCTCCAGGCGGCGTGCTTCATTTTGTAACAAAAATCAAAAGCATTTGCCCTAAACCGCCTGAGCGCGGCAGTGTCCTCCAGGCGCTCTCTCTCTATCTCGAATCTCAGGCCAGCTCTTGTCTCCATCCTGCAGAGGCTCTTGACCATCTGTGCCAGTAACTTTGCTCCGAAGTTTGCTCGCAGGTTTCTTCACTGGTTTCTGAGCGTGACTTCGTACTGCACGGATGGTTTCATGTTGCATTATACCAGTGTTTCGCAAATCAGCAAACCGCGTGAGATTGGCAAGATGCAAGCAGACTCTAGGAACTATATTTGGGTCAGAACTACTTTTAAAATGATCAATTAATTTGTCATTCTCATGTAATTAGGATTTTACTTTCTAAAAATAATACCCTGTAACTGGGAGACTTGAGTCCCATTTTTTCTGGGGTGGAGAGTTGAGCTATGTTTTAACACTTTCCTTCTGAACAATATTCTAGCAAACAGTGCAGTCAGAATTCCTACCAAGCACGCTCTCCATGGTGAGCGCTTCATCTCCCACATACCCTCCTCCTCAGGTCAGAGTCAACAACGAAGAACACCAGCAGTAACAAAGCCATCCCCTCGGTACCTCCCACCACATTAACCAGTTTTAGAAAATGTAAGTAGTTCATCCTAACTTGACTTTCTCCACTCCATTCTG